TTTTAAACAAACAAGAAAAAGCCCCGAATTATCTCAGTGTGTTAAAAAACAGAGCATTACACCTTCATTCAATGTTCTTAATATTCCTTTCTCTCTGTGTCTGCTTGTTTAGAACCAGTCTGTGGTGGTGGCAGATTTTGGACTGGCCAGGCTGGTGAAGAAGGAGAGGGATCAGAGCAGAACATCATCTATGGAGCGGCCTGCGAAGGGGACGCTGTCAGAGCTCCGCAGGCCTGACAGGAGGAAGCGGTACACTGTGGTAGGAAACCCCTACTGGATGGCCCCTGAGATGATCCATGGTGAGTGCACAACATTTCAGGGTATCAATTATACCAGCCAACCAGCACGGCAGTCACTAAATCAAAAAACCTCCATGGCATCCAATTTATCTCTGAGAACCAATAAGTAAAGATTGCTTGTTTCCAGTATAATATAACCCATTATAATGCTTTAGTTCAGTCGCCCAAATTAAATTTAGGGATGATTTGTGACTAAATCTATTGTAAGCCTAATTTCCTTTTCTGCAACATTGGCCTGCTAGTTGTGATAGAAGAAAAATATTAAAATATAAGTAAATAAATACAAATAGCAATGAAACATGATTGGGAATAAAGGTCAAGTCAAACCTCACAGCATGTGAGTGTGAAGATTTCAAAACAGTGTCGAACACATTCTTGTTAGTGAGGTTTCTGAAAAATGCTGTCAACTTTCCTCTTAATATCACAAGTGCCACAAATGTGCAAAAGGGCATTAAGGAGGAGTCTGTTGTTACTCTAAGGCCTAATAGCAGATCCAAAGCAAACACACTGATCTCCACATCTCAAACTCTCCTCTGCACCTCTTAGGAAAATCCTATGATGAACGAGTTGACATCTTTTCCTTTGGTATCATGATATGTGAGGTAAGAACGTAAAGGTATAACATTCCTAAAAGTACCATTCACGTGATTTCTAAGAATCGAAATGATGTGGTGATGACTGAGTTATAGGGTTGTGTAAATGTCAGAGGAAAAAATTATAATTATCCATTAAAATGTATATAATATCCATAATTATATTATCAATATTTTGTCTGTGTTTTTCCATGACTCAAGCATCTTCACTTCTGGTTTGAAATCTGAGTATCTTTCTTTATCTGAAGATTATAGGCAGAGTGAGTGCCGACCCTGACTACCTCCCCCGTACAAACGACTTTGGCCTGAATGTAGTCAGCTTCCTGCAGCAGTATCACCCTCCACTGTGCCCCGCTGCCTTCCTGCCACTGGCTGCCCTGTGCTGTGACATGGACGCTGATAAACGGTATGATTGCACAACTCAAGCCAAACTGCAAACCCAAATTTTCATTTAGGCAAAAATATAATCTGCATGTAAATATTGTACATTTTGTATTTTGGTTCAAATGTCATTACCTTGTTTAGTTTTAACAAAACATCTACGCGACTTAAAGGTTGAACTAAGACAGTGTTTGTTTAATTTGTGGTAAGTCAGACTATTGTGAGGCACAAGTTGATGATGTGAAACGGCAATGATGGTATAATGTTAGGAGGAAAACTGCAAAACAAAATGTTGCACGATAGTGCAGAACAGTCTAGTAAATACTTAATATACTACTGCAGTACAGCATGCAAGGCCCTATAGCTCCTCGTTATCACAAATCTTTGTCTTTGTCAGTCCTTCCTTCTCGAAGTTGGAGGAGTGGCTGGACAACCTGCTCATGCACCTGGACATCGGTCTGCCTTTGCTCTCTGAGTTAGACCAGCTCCATCGAGCCTTCTGGCAGAATTACACCCACCTAAACCACTCACACAACCAGGGAAACACCCTGAAATCTCATGAACTAACCCACCGTTCACAGCCAGGAAGACAGAGCCCTGATCCTAAGAGATGTACAGACAATGCAAATAACTACATGGAGTCTAGTGACCTCCCTCAAAGCCAAGACCAACACAGTATACCTGACAGTCATTTGGATGGACAGCATCACACACAAGATGTGAGGACAGAGCATAACCTCAGCTGTTTGAACAGAGACAAGAGGCAGTGTTGCAGGTCTGCAAGCACAGAGACAGGCGAGGACAGACCTGAAACCTGTGAACATAATAACTCCTCAGGACGAGTCCAAGTCAACAGCTCACTGCTCGGCCAGCACAGGACGACATGCAGAGTGCTGTGGGACAGATCTACGGAGGACAGCTCTTTTCTCTGATTTTTATAATCTGCTGGGCAAGACAGGACACACCTGCAAAGACCTGCTGTAAAAACATTTTATCAACACACAGGTGCCTTCTCAACGACCGGGAGAGAACTGAAAGTAAGGACTTCTGCTCAGAGAACATGCAGGGAGGAGTAGATACAGTATACACAGCTCATTACAGTTGCCTCATGTTGCTCTGCGAACCAGTATTTACAATTTCTCGATATTGGCCATATTCTACAACATTGTGATAATAGTATATCTATGATAAGCTACATTTGATAGGTCAATCCATTAGTTGGACTCAAGTATCGACTCTGTGTCCAGAAACTGTGAAACACATCGCACTTTATGCTTTTAAGAATGCCTTTTATGAATTTTCTGTCAAAAATTGTAAAACCACATTCAACACACTGAGCTGTGAAGAAACTACAACTGTAGTTAACTCAATAAAGAAGATTAAAAAGTAATTTGACTAGATTGAAGTTGCTATTCACCATTAAATGCTC